TTTTCCCAAATTTCTGCCCCTCTGCACCCACGGGTATTTTCCCTCCCATTTCACCGGGAAATTCGGCAGCTCCCGGAACTTTCCTGGATTACGGTTGGAAAATCATCCCGGACGGCGCTGGCTGCACTGGAAGGGTTTTATTGATGGCTTTGGGGTTTACAGTTCATGCTGGTGAAATTATGGCATTTTTGGTTTGTTTTTTTTTATATAAAAATGATTTTTGCATGCAGGAATGACGCAGAGGGCCGGGGTGACACCCCCAAAGCTCAGCTGCCCCTTCGTCCTCCAACTCAGCCACCCGAGGGGCTGAGCTGGGGAATTTGGGATTTTTCGGGAATTCCAGCGTGGTTTGGTGATTAGTTTTGGGGTTTTAATTGGGATTGCTCGGGGGCTGAGCTCAGGGAGGGGCAGCTGGGGGTGACAACACCAGGGGTGACAACACCAGGGGTGACAACACCAGGGGTGACAGCTCCAGGGTCTTCTCCATCCCTGATCCAGGGGTTTGGGAGGAAGATTTGGGAGCTCTCCCATGCCCAGCCTGCCTCAGGGTGGGTTTCTCTCCTTTAGGGTTTTGAATTCTGGAGCAGGTGGATGGAAAAGGGGGGGAAAGGAAGGGAAGGGATGGATTTGCTCCTCCTCAGCCCACACTGAGCCTGGAGATCTTCAGCCCTTCACTCCTGCAGCTCCCAAGCCCTCGGGTGCTCCTTCCAAGGGGGCTCAGACCCGGTTTTGGGATGGGGTTTTGGGATGGGGTTTTGGGATGGGGTTTTGGGATGGGGTTTGGGATGGGGTTTGGGATGGGATTTGGGATTTTCCCATTTCCAAGGCGGGATGAATCCCAACCCAGTGTGGGGCAGGAGGTGACAATGGAGACCCAGTTTTGGGATGGGATTTGGGATTTCCCCGTTTCCACGGTGGGATGAATCCCACTTCAGTGTGGGGCAGGAGGTGACAACGGAGACCCAGTTTTGGGATGGGATTTGGTTTGGGATTTGGGATGGGATTTGGGATTTCCCCATTTCCAAGGTGGGATGAGCCCCACTTCAGTGTGGGGCAGGAGGTGACAGCAGAGACCCGGTTTTGGGATGGGATTTGGTTTGGGATTTGGGATGGGATTTAGTTTGGGATTTGAGATGGAATTTGGTATGGGATTTGGGATTTCCCCATTTCCAGGGCGGGATGAGCCCCACCGCAGCGTGGGGCAGGAGGTGACAATGGACAATGGACTGGGTGACAACCCAGTTTTGGGATGCAGTTTGGGATGGGATTTGGGATTTCCCCATTTCCAAGGCGGGATGAGCCCCACCGCAGCGTGGGGCAGGAGGTGACAGCGGGCACGGCGCTTTGTGGGGTGGCTGTGGTGAGCTCAGAGCTGCGACCCGAGCGGGAAAAGGAGAATTTCGGGGAAACCAGGAGCGCGCTGCGATTGCGCTGCCGCGAAGCCGAGTCGGATGGAAAAGCGGGAATGAGGGGGGTCCCTGGGAGAGGGGGACACAAGTCCTGAGGGCGCTCAGATCTCGATGACGGTGGCCCGGCGCAGGCACAGCGGCGCGTCCGGGGGCACCGCGTTCCGCTTGATCGCGTTGCCGTCCAGCCGCAGCACCTGGAGCCGCGAGTAGTTCATGACGTCCACCACGGAGCAGAAGCTGCTGATGGAGAACTCTGCGGAGGAGAGGAGATGCCGAGAGCTTCAGGGTTTCGTTTTTGTGGTTTTCAGGTTCTGGGATGTTTTAATGGGTGGGGTTGGGCTTCGTGTTATGGGATGGTGAGCGCTGTTGACAGGGTAGGGAGATAAAACAATTCCTGCTCCAGCTGGGGACCAAGGACAAATGATCCAGATTTCAGGCCCTCCCTATGATCCAAATTTCAAATGATCCAAATTTCAAATGATCCAAATTTCAAATGATCCAAATTTCAAATGATCCAAATTTCAAATGATCCAAATCTCAAATGATCCAAATCTCAGGCCCTCTCTAGGATCCAAATCTCAAAGGATCCAAATCTCAAAGGATCCAGATCTCAAATGATCCAAATCTCAAATGATCCAAATTTCAATGGATCCAAATCTCAAGCCCTCCCTAAGATCGAAATTTCAAATCATCCAAATTTCAAATGATCAAAATATCAGGCGCTCTCTATGATCTAAATTTCAAATGATCCAAATTTCAAGCCCAAGAGCATAAACACTGTGGGCTGAAGAGATAAAAACAAGCAGGATGGGAGTGCATGGGCTAAAGCTGTAATTGCATAATTAACTCCAATATGCAAATGGAGCAGAATTGATAAAAGTGAGAGCCCCCGTGAGCGGTCGTGCATTTTGGGACCATTTTGGGTCCATCTTGGGTGCAGTTTGTGACCATTTTGGTTTACCTTGGGTTCATTTTGTGACCATTTTGTGACCATCTTTAGTTCACTTTGTGAACATTTTGGCCCATCTTGGGCTCATTTTGTGACTATTTTGGATTCATTTTGTGACCATTTTGGGTCCATCTTGGGCTCATTTTGTGACCATTTTGGGTCCATTTTGGGTTCATTTTGTGACCATTTCGGGTTCATTTTGTGACCATTTTGGGTTCACTTTGTGACCATTTTGGTCCATCTTGGGTGCAGCCCTGGCTGGGCTCTGGTGCTGCCCAAGGTGGCTCCATGGAGGAGATCCCTTAATAAATCCCTGCTTTATCCTTTAGCTCTGTCTGGCCTCTGCTCTGGCTCAGCCTTCCCAAGGCATCACTGGAGCTGAATCCCCCACAGCCTCCCCCAAAGGGCTGATTTTTAGTGGGAAATTCTCTGCTCCAAGGGATCGACCTCTGAGAGCTGCTTTGTGTTGAGGCAAAAAAAACAGCAGGAAAAAAAAATAAAAAACAAACAGGAAAAATAGGGCAGAGGGGAAAAAAAATGGGAGCAGCCTAAATTCGTTGATTTTCCCCGCGGATTTGGACTCAACTCCTCCAGCTAAAAGGGTTCCTGGTGGTCCTGGCCGCAGCCAGGAGGAGCAGGAGGGTTTGGAATCCTCCCTGCCCAGCCGGGATGGAGCGCCTGGAGGGTGGAGTTCGGATGGAAAACGTCACTTTCCATCAGGATTTTCCTTTCCAGCCTCTTTTGGAGGCTTCCTGTGCTGCAGCCTCCATCCCCTGACCCCTCTGGCCACCGTGGGACCCCCGGGCAGCCTGTCCGGGAGCGGGGATGTCCCTGTCCCCATCCCTGCTTTCCCCTCTGCCGCCAGCGCCAGGCAGGGAAATTCCAACCCAGGCTGAGTTTGGAAGCTGGAGATGGAACAAACTCCAAAAATACATTTTTTTGGTTTTTTTTTTCATGCAGGATTTGAGCCTAGAGGGCAGCAGAGCTGCAGGCCGGGATGGCGCTGGAAAAGGCGGCGGGATGCTGTGGGGGGGACACGCTGGGATTTGGGGGGCTGCACCCACAGAGGGGCAGGACCGCGGGCGGGATGCTCCAAAGGGGCTGGGACAGCGCTCCTGGAGCCGCATCCCAGATCCCGGGGGTGCTGTGAAGGTCAGCAGGACCCGCGGAGGAGGAGGACGAGGAGGAGGCTCCGCAGCGTTTGTGGGCAGACGGCGGCAGCTCCTCTTTGGAAAGCAAACATTTGGGAATCTGTTCCCGTGTCTGTGCTGCTGGCAGCTCCCCGCTGCGGGGTTCTGTGTTTTCCCTGCAACAGCCGATGGCTGCACTGACACCTTCCCGTTCCCATCCCTGTTCCCATCCCCATCCCCATCCCCATTCCCATCCCCATTTCCCATTTCCCATTTCCCATCCCCATTTCCCATTTCCCATCCCCATTTCCCATTTCCCATTTCCCATCCCCATTTCCCATTTCCCATCCCCATTTCCCATTTCCCATCCCCATTTCCCATCCTCATTCCCATTTCCCAGTGGAAATCTGGGGGGGAACCTCCATCTCTGGGGAAGATTTGGGAGGAACCTTCATCCTCGGTGGAGATTTGGGAGAAACTAGTGGAGATTTTGGGGGGAAAACTCCCTCCCAGTGAGAATTTGGGAGGAACCTCCATTCCTGGTGGAGATTTGGAACAAACCAGTGGAGATCTGGGAGGAATCCCAAATTCCTGCTCAAAGCACCGCCCCAGGCAGCTCCTGTGGTTTCCCAAGCCCTGTTCACTGGGAGATCTGGGAGGAATCTCCATCCCAGTGGAGATTTGGGAGAAACCTCCATCCCTGGAGAAGATTTGGGAGGAACCTTAATCTTCGGTGGAGATTTGAGGAAACCAGTGGAGATTTGGGGAAAAAACTTCCTCCCCATGGGGATTTGGAAGGAACCTTAGTCATGGGTGGAAATCTGGGGGAAACCAGTGGAGATCTGGGAGAAAAACTCTCTCCCAGTGAGGATTTGGGAGGAACCTCCCTTCCTGGTGGAGATGTGGAACAAACCAGTGGAGATCTGGGAGGAATCCCAAATTCCTGCTCAAAGCGCCGCCCCAGGCAGCTCCCGCGGGTTCCCCAGCCCTGCTCACCGTTGATCTGGTTCCCCTGCAGGTAGAGGTTCTCCAGGTTGGTGTTGACCCGCGGGATCTTCTGCAGCCGGTTGTAGGAGAGGTCCAGCTCCAGGATGCTGCTGCTGTTGAAGGTGTTGCTGGAGAGCCCTTGGTTGGTCAGGCTGTTGTGGGACATCCTCACGTAGAGCAGCCTGGGGGACACCTGGAAATAATCGTCGGGGATGGCATTGATGTAGTTGTACTCCAGGTAGAGCTGCTCCAGGGAGGCCGGCAGCCCGTCGGGGACCTTCCTGAGGTTGTTGTAGCTCAGGTCGGCCAGGATCAACGACTTGAGCCCCTTGAGGGACGCGCCCATCTCGAAGATGAAGTTGTGGCTGAGGTAGAGCGCCGTGAGGTTCTCCAGCCCCTCCAGAGCATTGGAAGGCACCTTGGAGATGTGGTTGTAGGAGAGGTGGAGCTCTCGCAGCGAGCGCGGCAGCGGGCCGGGCAGCCTGGTCAGGTTGTTGTTGTTCATGTAGAGCCTCTCCAGGCGCTGCAGCTTCCCAAAAACCCTTTTCCCCATCTTCTCGCTGCCGATCTGGTTGTTGTGCAGCGCCAGCCACTCCAGCTCCGTGGCGTTGTCGAAGGCTCCCTCCTGGACGGAGGTGATCAGATTGTTCTGGAAATAAACGTACTTCATCCGCGACGGCACGAAGGGCAGGTACCGCAGGTTGCGGGTGTCGCAGTACATGGCCGAGGAGAAGTTGGGGGGACAGTCACACTCCTGGGGACACCGCCAGGGCGCGGCTTGCTGCGGCTCCGGCTCGGGCTCGGGCTCCGTGTCGGTGGCCGAGGGGTAGGAGTAGGCGTAGGCAGGGCTCTCCTCCTCGTAGTAGGGCACGTAGTTGTAGGAGGAGACGCGGGACTGCCGCAGGTAGTACTGGAGCCACGCCAGGTCCTCCTCCTCGTTGTACTGGCCCAGGGAGGAGCCGCAGAGCCCGGCCAGGACGAGGATGAGGGTGGTGGCCCAAGGCATGGCGCTGGAGGGACCTGCCAGGGGACAAAGCCGTGGGAGGATGAGCCGCAGGAGGCAGGCAGAGCTGGAGAGGCAGGAGATGAGGGAATCCTGCCCAAAAATCCCCGTCTGTGGACACCTCACTTGTGTGGAGTTAGGTGATCTTCCCCCTTTTCACCTTGGAGAAAATTCCAGCCTGCTGGAGATTTGGGAGGAAGCAGTGGAGATTTGGGAAAAACCTCCCACCCTGGAGGAGATCTGGGAGGAACCGGTGGAGATTTGGGAAAAACCTCCCACCCTGGAGGAGATCTGGGAGGAACCGGTGGAGATTTGGGAAAAACCTCCCACCCTGGAGGAGATCTGGGAGGAACCGGTGGAGATTTGGAAGAAACCTCCCACCCTGCAGAAGATTTGGGAGAAACCAATGGAGATTTGGGAGAAACCAGTGGGGATCTGGGAGGAACCTCCTTCCCAATGGAAATCCAGGGAGGAATCTCCATCCCTGGAGGAGATTTGGGAAGAACCAGTGGAGATTTGGGAGGAATCTTAGTCCTCAGTGGAGATTTGGGGGAAACCAGTGGAGATTTGGGAAAAAAATTCCCTCCCTATGGGGATTTGGGAGGAACCTCCATTCCTGATGGAGATTTGAAACAAACCAGTGGAGATCTGGGAGGAATCTCCATTCCGGTGGAGATCTGGGAGAAACCTCCCACTGTGGAGGAGATCTGGGAGAAACCAGTGGAGATTTAGGTGAAATCTCCCACTCTGGAGGAGATTTGGGGGAAACCAGTGGAGATCTGGGAGAAACCTCTCACCCTGGAGAAGATTTGGGGTAAACCAGTGGAGATTTAGGAGAAACCGGTGGAAATGTGGGAGAAACCTCCCACTCTGGAAGAGATCTGGAAGAAATCAATGGAGATTTGGGAGAAACCTCCCACCCCTAATGAGATTTGGGGGAAACCAGAGGCGATCTGGGAGAAATCTCCCACCCTGGAGGAGATCTGGGAGAAACCAGTGGAGATTTAGGAGAAACTGGTGGAGATTTGAGAGAAATCAGTGGAGATTTAGGAGAAACCTCCCACCCATGAGGAGATTTGGGCAGTTTCTGGGCGAGGACGGAGCCTGGGGACGCGCGGATTTGTGCGAGGTCACTCGAGGTGCCCGGGGTTGGCTCTGCGTGGGAGGGAGGAGAAGGAATTCGGGTCCCCTTGGAGGAGGGATTTGAATTCTCTGGCTGACAGGGGAAGCTGCCGGATCAGGGTGATTTTGGGAGCTCGAGGAGCCTTTTGAAGGAGCTCAAGGAGCTTTTGAAGGAGCTCGAGGCATCTTTTGAAGGAGCTATTTATGCTCCTGGTGACAGGAATCGCTGTGGGTTTCTTCCAGCTCTCCCTTCCCCCACCGAAACGCAGGACGCAGATCCTGGTAAACAAATCCTGCCTGATTTTGGAGCTGAAACCTCTTCCAAGCTCCCATTTCCCCAGGCAGGAGAAGGGGCAGCCCCCTGGGTGTCACCAGGGAGAGGGGACAACGCCTGCTGCTGCATCCAGAGGAGAGCAGGGAATGAGGCAAAGCCACCCCTGACCCCCGTGGCCGCCTCCTGCCGTGCCCAGGTGGGGCTGCAGCGGGAGGATTCCAGCTCCGGAATCATCCTCCCTCCTCATCCCGGGATAAAGGAGCGCACGGCGTGTTCCCGCAGCCAGGCAGCTTGAAACCCCTCCAGGAATGTCGCTGCTGGGAGCGGGAGAGGATCCGACGTGGCTGGGAGGGTGTCACTGCCAGCTCTGCTCCGGTGGCGACCAGCAGGGACCAGTAAGGACCAGCAGGGACCAGCACAGACCAGCAGGGATGAGCAGGGACCAGTAGGGACCAGCAGGGACCAGCAGGGATGATTAGGGACTGGCAGGGACCATCAGGGACCAGTAAGAACCAGTAAGGACCAGCAGGAACCAGCAAAGACAGCAAGGACCAGTAGGGACCAACAGGGACCAACAGGGACCAGTAAAGATCAGCAGGGACCAGTAGGGACCAGTAGAGACCAACAGGGAGAGCAGGGACCAGCAGGGATCAGCAAAGACCAGCAGGGATGAGTAGGGACTGGCAGGGACCAGTAAGGACCAGCAGAGACCAGTAAGAACCAGTAAAGACCAGCAGGGACCAGTAGAGACCAACAGGACCAGTAGGGACCAGTAGGGACCAGCAGGGACCAGTACAGACCAGTAGGGACCAGTAAAGACCAGTAGGGACAGCAAGGATGAACAGGGACCAGTAAGGACCAGTAGGGACCAGAGTCCCCTTTTTGCCATGCCACGGGTGGCCCTGAGGTCACCTGGTGACCCCTGGCCGTGTCCCCAACCTGCAGCAGGGAGGGGACGCCCGGCCTGGCACGCACAGAGGGCACAGAGTGCCCTGCCCTGCCACCCTGGCACGGGCAAAAAGCGGGATTGAGGCGGGCTTGGCAAGGCCGGGATTTGTCCTTTTTTTCCTGGGATCCTGAGGGATGCTGAGTGCCACGGGGAGCTTGGCAGGGGCAGAGGAGTTTCTCCTCCTCCTCCTCCTCCTGCTGCTCCAGGGCTCTGTGCCCGCTCTCATACCAGAGCCTGCAGCTTCTCCACCCACTTGGCAGCCTCTTCTTGGGGGCCCCTTTGGGGCAAAACCCCATCCCTGGAGGAAAAACCCCATCCCTGGAGAAAAAAACCCATTTCTGGGGGGCAAAACCCCATTCCTGGAGGAAAAACCCCATCCCTGGAGAAAAAAAACCATTTCTGGGGGGCAAAACCCCATTCCTGGAGGAAAAACCCCATCCCTGGAGAAAAAAAACCATTTCTGGGGGGCAAAACCCCATCCCTGGAGGAAAAACCCCATCCCTGGAGAAAAAACCCCATCCTTGAAGGAAAAAACCCAATACCTGGGAGGCAAAAACCCATCCCTGGGGGCAAAACCCCTATAGCTGGAGGAAAAACCCCATATGTGGGGGCAAAAACCCCGTTCCCAGGGACAAAATCTATACCTGGAGGAAAAAACTCCATCCCTGGGAGCAAAAACCCCATCCCTGGAGGAAAAATCCCATATGTGGGGGCAAACCCCCCATTTCTGGGGACAAAACCGCATCTTTGGGAGGCAAAACCCCCATATTTGGGGACAAAACCCCATCTTTGGGGGTTAAAAACCCCCCATTTCTGGGGTCAAAACTCCATTTTTAGGGTAAACCCCCCCATCCCTGGGATCAGAACCGATTCCTGCTGTCCCCCCACCTTTCCCAGCGCCCCCCTTGAACCCTCTGGTGACCCCAAAATCTGTCCCCAGAACCCCCCCGCTGTCCCCTCGTTGTTTGTGGGGTTCTCCTCCCCTCCCTGGGGGTTCCCCCCTGGGTTTGGGGTCAGGCCCAGGTGTCCCTGTCCCCTCCTGGTGTCCCTGTCCCATGCCAGGGGGTTCAACGGGGTCAGCTCCTCATGCCAAGGATTTGGGACCATCCATGGGGTCATGGAAGCGCTGCTGGAAACCTGGGATGGGATGGGATGGGATGGGATGGGATGGGATGGGATGGGATGGGATGGGATGGGATGGGATGGGATGGGGGGCACTGCCCAGATCCCAGGTAAGTGGGCACGGAGATGGGATGGGGAGATGGGTGAGGTGGAAGAGGAGCAGCAGGAAAAGAGGGGAAGAAAAAAGACATCAGGAAAAGTGGGCAGGGGGGGAGAGGGGCACCAGGAAAATGGGTGGGAAGGGAGAGGGGCAGCAGGAGAAGTGGGTGGGAAGGGAGATGGCATCAGGAAAAGTGGGCAGGAGAGAGAAGCAGCAGGAGAATTGGGCAAAAGGAGAGGTGGGCACCGGGAGAGGTGGGTGGGAAGAGAAATGGGGAGATGGGCATCGGGAAAAGTGGGCAGGAGAGAGGAACAGTGGGAGAAGTGGGTGGGAAGGGAGATGGCATCGGGAAAAGTGGGCAGGAGAGAGGAGGCGCGGGAGAATCGGGCAAAAGGAGAGGTGGGCATCGGGAGAAGTGGGTGGGAAGGGAGATGGGGAGATGGGCAGCAGGAAAATGGGTGGGAAGGGAGATGGCATCAGGAAAAGTGGGCAGGAGAGAGAAGCAGCGGGAGAATCGGGCAAAAGGAGAGGTGGGCATCGGGAGAAGTGGGTGGGAAGGGAGATGGGCACCGGGAGATGGGCAGGAGTGGAAGCACCTCTCCAGCAGCTCCATCTCTCCAGCTGTGCCACCCCTGGCGCTGCCACGCGCAGGGATGGAAATCAGGCTTCCAAAAAAAAAAAAAAAAAACCACCAAAAAACCCCAAATAAATCAAATAACAATTAAAGTGCCTCAAAACGGACTCACCGAGCTGCGCTCCTCCTGTGCAGAGGCTGCTGCGGGCTGTGCCGTGGCACCGGCAGCATGGGAGGGTGGCTCCCGAGCCGCAGCGCCGGGTGCCCGCCCCAGATCCCGGAGCAAATACTGCGCTGGCAGGAGCTGGGCAGGGATTTCGGGGAGTGACCTCCGAGCCGCAGCTTTGCAGGAGAGACTGGAGAGCCCCCGGTGCTGCCTGGCGTTATAAATAACCTGCGATTTCTTTCCTCCCTCTCTCCCTCCTCTCTCTCTCTCTCCCGTCTTTTCTCTCAGGAGTGTTGGCACTTTCCAGGCTCGCTCTGTTGAACGACTTAGCGGGTTTGGATGTTGTTTTTCAGGGCTCTCCTGCGTTTCTCATCAGGGAGCTGCGAGGAGGCCGCTGGCCAGACCAGGGAATATCAGCTTTTGGGGGTGCTGAGAGTGAGATTTTTTGGGAAAAGCAAGGAATTACACTGAATTTTTGCACTAGCAGGAAGGGAGAGGTGGGCCCTGCTCCGAGTGCTCCCCAGGAAGGCTCGGTTTGTGCAGGGCTGCCGTTAAATATTTGGGATAAACATTTCCATGGACGATAAGGCGGCGGCATCCAAAGTAAATAAATTCCCGAGCAAAGGGGCCACTGTGACAGCGGGAATTTGTCTTTGGATTTGGCGGCATGGGGTTGCCAAGCTGGCATTTCTGCAGGCTGGGAAAATCCACAAGGATTGGGGTGTCTGGGGGGTGGGGGGGGGAGTCTCAGCTCTCCCACCAGGATTTGGGATCTCATTCACCCCCTGGATTTGGGATCTCATCCATCCTCTGGGATTTGGGATCTCACTCATCCCCTGGGATTTGGGGGTGTTATCCATCCCCCAGGATTTGGGATCTCATCCATCTCCCTGGATTTGGGATCTCATCCATCTCCCTGGATTTGGGATTTCATCCATTCCCCTGGGATTTGGGATCTCATCCATCCCCTGGGATTTGGGGCCTCATCCATCCCCCAGAATTTGGGATCTCATCCATCCCCCAGAATTTGGGATCTCATCCATCCCCACAAGGCTCAGCCAGGGTGGGAATGTGGAGACAAGAACAGGGAGCGTGTCCTGAGGATGATCCATGGTTGGGAAGAGGTTTTGGGGCTCATCCCAGTGCCCCTGGGGGGTCCTGCAGAGCTGTCCCACCCCGTCCCTGTCCCCATCCCCATCCTGGCTCCCTGAACTCCTTGGAGCCGGCTCTTCCCGGCCTCTCCAAGCATTTCCTCCCGCAAGGAAAGGAGAGGAGAGGAGGAGCCCAGAGCGGTTCTTGCTCCTCCCAGGAGCCTGGAATTATTTAGCGGAGCTCAGCAGGTGCCAGCTCTCCCTCTGGGCTCCCTTTCTCCTTGTTTTCCATAGAAAATTCCCAGCCAAAACATCCTCCCGGGAGGGAGCCCTGCGGGGATCCGGAGCGAGGAGGAGGAGGAGGAGGAGGTGGAGGAGCAGCGATGTGAGGGAATTCGGGTGGCCGGGCTTGGAGGGACACGCTGTACAGAGAGGACTCGGCCAGAAATCCCGAATATTTGGGAAGGGAAATGTGCCTGGAAAGCACAGCCCGTCTGCAGGGAGGGAGGATGTGGAGAAAGTGGAAAAAGAGGGCAGGGAAAGGGAGGAAAACCCCCTTTTTGGAGGGAAGGGAATTGTATTTTTTGGTTTTTATCCCCTCTGAGTGTTGGTGGTGGCAGCTGGAGAGGGAATCCCATGTGGAAAGGAAGGGATGGAGGTTTTGGGATGATGGAGAGGATGGAGGGATAGAATCCCACTCCCAGGGAGCCGAATTCCCGGGAAAATTTTGTGAAATTCTGCTGAATTCCCAGGAAATTGTGTGCTGCTCTCGGAGCATCTCTGGCCAACAGCCCCAAGGATTTCAGGGCCCAGAGGTTTTCCTGGAAAAGCAGACAGTCCCCAGCCAGGCTGGGTAAGGAATTCCAGCCTCCCCAGCTGCTGGAAGTTTAAAGGATCCAGGTGATCCCTTTGGAGGAGAAGGTGGCTTCCAGGGGTGCCCTGGGAATGCTGAGGAGCAGGAGATGGCCCCGAGTGGTGCCATTCCTGTGGCCACATCCCCTTTTCCAGCCTAAACCATGGAATATCATCCTGCTGGAGCCCAGCCCGTGTGCTCCTCATGGAATCCAGGAATTTCTGTCCAATCTCACCCCGACCACACCGGGATTATCTCAGGGAAATGAGAATTTTCCATCTGAAGAACCCCATGAGGTTTTTCCCTTTTTGTCTCCATCCAAACCTGGAATCTCATGCTCCAATTATCCCAAAGTTCCTGGCAGGGCTCCCTTGGCACCAGGGGGGTGTTGATAGTGTCGGAATCTGTGGTATTGATGATCCCGAGATTGTAGAAAGGTTTTGGGTTTTTTTTTTTGTTTTGTTCCCAAAGCAGAAGACAGAATTGGTCTGTGCTGGTTTCCAGGTTGTTTATTCTGTTGATCTCTCACATGTTCTGCTGCCCTGCCCAGCTCTGTCCTGCAGGGCAGCGTGTGGGGCTCTGCCCTCAGTGGGATGTGACAAACATT